TTCAGAGAGAAAGGAAGGGTCAGAACACACTGCAGCAATCAGAGGCGACTCCCTGGAAGAGGAGGGATTTGAAGAAATAGTACAAGCAGAAGCAAAAATGCTCAATTGGTGAAGGGGAGGGTTTGGGTTTGTATCTGATGCATTAATTAGTATCTTTGGGAGGATTAGGAGGCATGCTTTGTGTCTCCCCTGGTAGAACTGATGTCTGTGAAGTGACTCTGAATGGCTTGGCAAGTTTATCAGTAGGTTATGGGCAGATGGAAAATCAGAAAATCAGACTATCAGAGCAGGGAGCGACTTGGGCTCTTTGAAGGTGAACCATGGATCTTACAGATGAAGAAAATGGGGTCAAGAGGGGAAGTGCTTGCCTCAGTTCAGAAAGCTACTGAGGCAGTGGGCAGGACAGGGTTCACCCCAGGTGAGTTTTAGCAAACACTGATGAAGCAGTATGACAAAAGCTGATTCTGTCAGGGGGCCAATTCTATGGCAGCTGCTCATGAGATTATAGCTACGTGGGAGCAGGAAATCGAGAACACACTGGTTGAGAGACACAAAATCTCAGCTAGAGTCCAATTTTCATCTCCACCCCCCACCCCAGATCTACACCCAAAAGAATTTAGCTTCTCATCCATCTGACCTCTAATGACCTCCCAGCCAACAAGAAGAGAGTGGTCCCTCAAGGCCACCTTAGAGGTGCATGAGCAGTTTTTCATGGAGGCAAGCTGACCCGTGCATTTGCCTCGGTCGAATCTGGAATGTCAGGTGGACCTGGAGGAAATGTGATGCTGGTTCCGACACAACCAACTCTGATTAGCCCTGTTGCTCTCGGTTCACCATGGTGCCACTGGCCATGCTGCCCGCCCTGTCCATGAGACGGAAAGAGCACTGACCGTCAGCTTAGAAGACGCAGGCCATGTTCCAAGCTCGAGCTCTCCCACCTTGCCACCGGCTGTGGCATCTTATGTGACTGATTTACCCTCCTGGTCTCCCTTCTCTCATGTGCAAAATGCGGACCCTCTTACCTTCACTGTCCGCCGTGTGAGGTGGTGGTAAGAATCACAAAATAATGTTTACCTTTACTACATATGGATTCCTTTAATGTTTTCTGTTCTATTATTTTAATTTTTTAAAATGCCGCTGACAATTAGTTTATGATCCATAAATGGGTTGGTGCCTCCAAAGTTGAAAAAAACACCAAGAATATGGGCATCTCCAAACTTCTTTGATCTTCAGAAGCACCCAGGAGGATCTTATTTAAAACACGACCTCCTACATCCACTGAATTAGAATCTCTCTGTGGGAGGAGGAGGGGGAAGGCTAAGCAGTTAGTTCTTTTAACCATCACCCCAGGTGATTGAGTCTGGCCACCAAAAAGTTTGAGAATTGTTGGAATAACATGGCAAAGTCGGAAGAAATGGTCCAGTTCTGTAAAATGCTGGTTATTGTTAGCAGACTTTGCAGCCACCAGTGCGCCAGCTCCAGCAGAACCGGCCCTCTGCCAGGCCCGCCTCCACGCCTCCCGGGGCTCGTGTTTGTTCCCCCTTCTTCATGCTGGCTCAGCACTGCCCTCCCCGCCTCTCACCTCTCTCTTCTCTCCCATATGCAATGTTTCTAGCTCAAAGCCTGCCTCCGGCATCTTCCCAACACTTAGTGATGTCCATCTTCTATGACCTCTCCATTACATACAGTTTTGTATTATTCTGAGACATTTCTTGCCTGTCGGCTTTATCCCTCTCAACTAGATTGAAAGCTCCGTGAAGGAAGAACTGCTTAAGTGGTCCCCTGCACCTGCCTCAGAGGCAGTGCTTCTAGAAAGCTCTACAGTCAAATGGAGCCTGGTGCTTTCATTTGCTGTGAGCGTAGGAGTGGTTTAATTTTGTAAGGACCTTCACTGACCCGTTCAAACTCGATACTTAGAAGACCTTGGGTTAGCTGATCGCCCAAGTAAACGTTTCTCCACCTGTCTGCTCCAAGACCCAGGATCAACACAGAGAAGGACCCACCTGTCTTGGCTCAAGATGAGGGCAGTTAAGGTAGAGACCACTGTTCCCAGGCCCCCAGCAATTGTCCACCAGGGATTCTGGATCAGAAGCCCTATGAGGATGATGATCCCGCTGAGAGGGTTGTTGACAAACATCACCTGAGCAGTCCCCCTCAGGACCCAGTCTATGAACTGGAGGGCCAATGGCTTATCTGAAAGAGACGGGCAGAGCCATTAGCAGGGTCCAACCTGTGCTTCCTTGCAGGACTACTGGTTGGCGTGGCAACCAAGACAGGCAAGGATGCATGAGCCAGGATATTTCCCCTCATTTAGCCTGGCACCCAGCCCATCTCTGAGTGGCCTGGCAGTCAGTCTATAGTGGGTGTTAGTTTTTGCCTTACAGAATGAGGCACCGAGCTGAGGCCAATTTAACACCATTCCAGCCATTGGCTTGGTTGGCGAGGAGGCCCCAGGAGCATTCCAAGGGAAATTTCTTGGTCCAAGGGAAGGGGTGGAGAGGGAAGGAAACTCCTTTTGTGTAGTGCTGTATGACTCAGTTGAGGCTGGTGTCTCAGCAGCAAAGAAAGCAGTCTGGAGAAAGGAAGCTGGGAAAGAAATGATTTTAGCCTAGCTGTGAAAACCAGTATTGAGTCAGGCCTGGAGGAAGCCAGGTTTAGAGAAGAGGGGACATGCATTCTGCCTCATTCTCTGGTTTGGTTTCCTGCACAGCCTGTACAAGTGGGGGAAAACCGTGGGGAGGAGAAGGTTAGGGGTGTTTGTTGGAACATTTAGTTTAGGGAAATGAGGAGAAGGAAGATGTTAAAAGGAAAGAACTCTCGACCATTGGGGAGGATGTTGCCAATATTTCTTGGCACATAATAAATGGTTATGGAAAAGTGAAGGAATGACTGTTTGGGAAATGGCTTATGTGTTGCTAAGTGGTTGTCCTACATCTAGTCCATGTAGGAGTGAAGAATTTCCAAAGAACTAAAATTAGTAAAATGCATTTAATTCTCAAGCCACGGGAATTTCAGGTTAGTAGGGTATGTTATGCCCACCCCAAAGTCAACTCGGAGCTGGAGCACCCCCACTGTGGGAACCCTCACCATGAGTGAGTGAAGAGGCGGCTTCCCCAGGAGCCTGTCTCCCAGGACTGACCCAGCCACTTCCTCCCGGGGCATCCGCCTACCTTTCAGCCAGTTCCTGTACTCCTTCATCTCGCCCGTGAGGAAGCCCACTGCTCGGAGGAGGCTGCAGTGCGTCTGGCCGGCGGCGCCCCCGTGGGCTACCCCCCTCTCACTCTTTTTACTCCGTTCATTGGGGTTTTCAATTTTCACCACGTGGCTCTCTTCTTTAGAAGATTGGAGATCCTTTCAGGAGAAGCCATGACAAAATATTAAGCAATATATAGCTTTTTGAGAGCAAGGGCATTTGGGGATAAAGAAGATTGTCAGTTTTCTTTTTGTTATTGTTGTTGAAATAAAGGATCGTGAGACAAATCTCCATTGCCGAATTCTGTCCAGAGAGCCCCAAGCAGGCCTGCTCTTCCCAGGATTACTGCACATTCTTGAGAGCAGAGTTTCTTAACCCTTCGTGTCATAGATCCCTTTTTGGCAGTTTGGCAAGCCTATGGACTTCTTTCCAGAATAATATTTGTAAATAAATAAAATAAATAGTATTACAAAGACAACCAGTTATACTGAAATGCAATTATCACACTATTAAAAAAAAAACAAACCATGATACACATATCAGTGCAGCAGATCCAATACCTACTATGATTTCAAAGTAGTGATGAGTGAATATATGAGGCCTTGTCACTCTAACTCAGGTCAACTCTGGAGAGCCATCCCAGGGACAGAGCTCAACACAGGATCAGCTGAGACCTTTATTGTGACTGCATCACAGACCAACCTCTTCTGCCAAACCCTGCTGCCTTACTTCTCCGTAAATACTGACTCCAATGGCATACCCTAGCAAACTTCTTACATGCAAATCTCCATCTCCAAGTCAGCTTCCTAGGGGAACCCAATCTGTGACAATGACAAAAGTCTAAGGTACTACTAATATGACTATTGTTCATTGCCTATATTTATTTATTAATAAAGTAAATGCTAAAGTTCATCTGAGGTTAGTGAAAATAAATTATCTCCCCCATCTAAGTTCAAACTCCCTTCAGTTGTATCTGTGGACTCCTCGGTCAGGACTCCGTGCTCTAAAGCTATGCTGTTCGATACAGTAGCCAATAGGACATGTGGCTATTGAGCTCTTGAAAATGTGGCTCGTCTGAACTGACATGTTCTCTAAGTGAATTGTGAAGACTTAGTATGATAAAAGAATGTGTAAAATATCTCACTGATAATTTATATTGATTACCTAGTAAAATAATATTATATATTCATATGTATTAATCTAAATAAAATATACTATTAAAATTAATATCACCTGCTTCCTTTTACTTTTTAAAAATGTGGTTAATAGAAATTTAAATTTACATATGTGGTTCACATTACATTTCTATTGTACATTGATGGTCTACAGATTTCTCCAAACTTTTCCCTATATCGAAACTTAAATATCTTAAGAATATCAGTGAAAATGGTGGAGTAAGACCTCCACAAATTCTCTCTTCCATAACGGCAATGAGAACACTGGATAAAATTGTGCTTGAGGTGGTCATTAACAGTGGGGAGAAGCAATAGGCTAATCAAAAAGCTTAAAAGGAAAAAATTGGGAATGAGATGTCCAAAGGGCATTTTAAAAAACTGAGACATAGTCCTGTGAATCATGCTCAAGAAAGAACTGAGAAGCCCCTAAACTCTCACCTGGCTGAGTGTGTCTCTGTGCAAGCAGGAAGTAAAGGCTAAGGTAGCTTAAAACTGCCTGGGTGAGGGTATAAGATATTTCCCAACTTGCACACAGATCCCTTCAGTGAAGACTGGGAGGCTTATCGATTCCAGGCATCTGAGAAAATCTTTGTCCAGTCATTAGCTGACCACTAGGTTAATTAAGTAGAGACAGCAGTGGCTATAAATGACGAAGAATACAGACTTTCCAGAATTAATTCAGAAAAGCTATTAGATAAACGAAGCAGCCAGCAATTGACTTGTCTTGAAATTTTACGATTCTTTCTTCTGACTGCTCCAATTTGTTATTGAGCTTCTCTAACTTTTCGTTTCTATTATTATACTTTTCAACATCCTGGGAGGGACATTCCTCACCTTTTCTTCAAACATTTCCAGGAGGGGCAGGGCTGGGTGTGTATCCTGGGGGCTGGAAGGCCAGCTAGGGCTGGTAAACTCTGACTCATAGAGTTTGTATCTGCTGGAGAGAGGCTCTGCCAGGAGCGGGCTGCTGTGAGTGTCAGACATCTCCAGGTGAAGGCTACTCATCGATCTTGCAACTGGTGGAAAAAGAGGGGGAGAAGAGGTGAGTCAGAATTGGGCCCAGAGGGGCCTGGCCGAGGCTGGATAGAGGCGTCAGGAGGCATGAGGTCTGTCCTGACACACATGGGACCTACTGTTCAGTAGCTCGTGCTGCCAGAAGGACCTGGGGCCATTCCTCCACCCGTGTATGCTTTAACTTTCAAACTCCTCCCACTCTTCCAAGTACAGAAAAACGTCCATTTTCGTTGTGAAGGTTTTCCTGACCACCCCCTTGGGCTCGATGTCGCTCTTTTATTTCCGATCACTGAAATATATTTCTCCACCTTTCTTATCATCCATATTGTGGTAGTTAACTGTCCATATATTATTCCCCTTGATATGTACACATAGAACTGGGTTTTCCAACTGAGTGGGGATTTAAGAGAAACTTGTTTTCTTAATTTCTACGGAGCCCATGTTGCTTACAGTTATTGACTTCCAGTCTCCCTTCTCCCGCTTCTGCCCTCAGTGCTCTTTCCAGCTCCTTCTCCTTTTTCCTCCCCCAGGAATGGTAAGAAGCTCTGGCATAATCTACTGGAAGCCGTGTGCACCAGGCTGGGCATCCTTCCCACTCTGTGTGGGACCTCTCTTCCCTTAACTACTAGGGCCAGGGTTTACGCCATGACTTGCTTTTAGAAGAACTTCTGTCCAAGATCTTCAGTTTCCTGGTTTACTCTGGCTGCCCCATGGCAGTGCTGTACTTTTCTCCTTCCCATTCAGTCATCTTAACTGTTCTTCTTCTTTGGCATCCTCTGGCTCAGTTATTTACTTTATTGTTTCTTCGAGAGGTGGTTTTGGACCTGCCCACAGTATGATCTAGAGATCCCCCATTGCTCCATGCCAACTCCCTAAGTTGCAGGACAGTGACTGCAGATCTCTAGTGTGGGTGCTGGCATTCCTTATACTTACCACGGCAGCCATTGCTAAAGGACTGCATCATTCAAAGGGGATGACGTCCTCTTTCTACACCTGCATTAGTACCATTTCCGTGGGCTATTTCCTCTTCTACTCTGAATGAGAACAATTCGTTAGTCACTGTTGCTTCTAGACCACCATGCACCTTGCTTGTGCAGAAACCCTTCTTCTTTGAGGTTTACACCACCCCTCTGATTGCTTGCTGCCGCATTACTGACTTTCTGGTCACTCTCTCATTCAGCGAAGACTTTATGGGTTCCGAACAGTCATCTTCATCTCCACTCCAGTGGCAGATCCTTGTCTTCTTCATCTCCAGTGACGTGCTCCACCTCCTCTTTTCAGCCGCCGATTTTCATAATCACCACATGGAACTGACATCATAAAAACTATGAAATCTCAAAAGCTTGATTCTCCTCTGGTCACCACCTCCTGGACTTCCAGCTCTCCTGCTCAAGTGTGTCCTCTGACATGGCCCTTTCACCTCTGGGACTCCTCCAATCCTTTACCTTTACCAGCCCCCATCTCTCCTTCCCTCCTTAACCAACTTAAATACCATAACTTTCCTTCTTTCAACACCCTTGCTCCTCGCTCTCTGCATCTCTTATTATTGTGTGGTGAAATCTCAGCCAGGTTAACCCAACCCACCATCTTTTCCATGCTTTCGTCAAGGAACCGGACATTGCTGGAGAAATATTGCATAACTGGGTGGGCTACTTTCACTTTAAATTTATGCTTGCCATCCTCAAACAGACTCTTGGCATGTATCTTTCTCTCTTTTGCCACTCCAGTCTGTTTTTCACTACTACTGCCCTTCCTGTAAAACCTCCATGCTGGCGAATCTAAACATGCTTCAGCCCTCATCTCACTAGACCGCTCAGTGGTATCCCATGGACTTGACCACTCCTTTGGACTCCTCTCTTTAGCTATTACACTTGGTCCTCTCTCTGGCTGCTCCTTTATACTCTCCTTGCCTGGCTTTTCCTGCAAATATGGGTGTTTTGTAGAACTTTGTTCTGGGCTGTTTTGTCTTCACTTGTGCTCCTACCCAGGTGAGCTTAGCTCTCGCCATGACTCGATCTTCCACCTGTATCTAATATTTACAGCCCAGTTTTGAGCACTGGAATAACAGACTTAATGGTCTACTTTACACTTGCATCTAGATGTTCCGGAAGTAGCTTAAAGTTAGTCTACTGAAACAGCTCATAACGTCCCCTTCCCAAGTCCTGCCCTTTTCCCTCACAGGCGCACATCCCAGGACAAGTCCTCGCCCCATTCCAAGCTGCTCCTTCAGAAATTTCAGGAGTCAAACTTAATATTCTCTTTCCCATTCTCCAAATCCAGTAATTCTATCTCTAAAATATACCTTTATATCTAATGTTACTAGTTAGCTGCCATCATCACCTGTTGCCACTTCTCCAGTAACTCCCAATTGGACAGCCCACTTCTCAGATTTCTCCTCTAAGCCATGCTCCACAGGGCAATCAGAGTTGTCATATTAACACTCAAATCCACTTATGTCAGTTCCCTGCTTAAATCCCTTCAATAGCTACAGATGGATAAATATGCCTTTAACACGGCGTGCAAGGCTCTGCATCAGCAAGCTCCCGTTACGCTTTGGTTCGTCCTGTGTCTCTCTTGCCTCTTGTCTCTGGGCTCCACATAGGCCCCTTTTCAGTGCCTAGAAGGTGCTGAGTAATCTTCCACCTCAGGGCCTCTGCAAGTGCTGGTCCATCTGCCTGGAAGGCCTCTCCCTCGCCCTTTACCTGGGTAACTCCTACTCTTCCTCTAGGCTTTGTCTCAATGATTGCTTGTCAGAGAAGCCTTCCCAGATCCACCCCCAAATGTGCTCTCCTGTCACATGCTCTCAGGGACCCAGTAGTTTTCCTGACAGCATTTTTTGCACTATGCAGTGATAAATTAATTTATAGATTTATTTGCATAGTATCTATCCTCTGCTGGAACTTAAGATGCATGAGAACAGTGAACTCTGTTCTGTTTACTGCTGTATTCTCAACTCCTAACATAGTGCCTGGCACATAGTAGGTGTTCAATAAATAAACAGTTAAATGAGGAAAGGAAGGAGAGAAGGAAGGAAAAAAGGAGGGAAGGGAAAATGGAAAGAATGGCAGAAAGCTGCAGGCAACTGCTAGAGTGGGAACACTTCTTTGGAGAGCTTAACAAGTCATGTGGGTCTCTTGAGTCTTGAATGGTTTAAGAAGGGTGTGGGGCTGCCCACCAGCCCTGCATTTTGGAGTCAGGACTCTTGCCATGTCTAGCCCCTGTCCTAATTTGCAGGAGGAGATCACTTAAACAACTGACTTTTAGCATGAGTCTGAAAGCATCACCCTGATGCTGCCATAATTCTGGAGGGAGGTCTTTTCTTCTATTCTGAACCTGCAGGTGGAGTTTCAGTGAGTTTTAGTCTGTGGGGAAAGGTTTAAGAGCAAAAGCCAACAAGCCTTAAAACCTGTCCCTTTCCAATGCTCTCTCTCTCCCTCTGGTGGCCAAGAGGTGATACAGCAACCTGACCCGCTGGTACAAGATTCCTTCCAAGCCATTCAGATGAAAAGTGAAGAGCAATTAGATATCTAGACACATGATCTGCGTAACACCACCTACCTGGATGAACTAGAAATGTTCTGGAAAGACCTTGTGTTAAATTCAGTGGCTGCGAAACCTATTAAAAGCCCAGTTGAAAAATACCTTTTTTCCAAATATATTTCACTGAATGTAAGATGTTATCAACTATAAGATAATATTTTGTATATTATCAAGAAAGAAGAAAATGCTGCCAATCAAAATTGTAGGATACATCCTGACTTCAGAAATGTTAAAATCTAAAGGCAGTTAAAAGCAATATACATTATATAATCAAGAAAAATGGTATTTTGTATTTTTTTTT